TAAATTAATGTTCCACTATGTTCACTTCCAGCTGCTAAAACAAGAGGACGTGATGGTGACCAACGACAAGTATATATTGCACCTTGTTCTGGTGCAAAACAACGTCCAAAATTAGGCTAAATAAATAATTCAATTAAATTTCTAAAGGAAATAATTTTTCAATAAAATTCTCTTACAAAAAGTTGTGAATAAATTCGAATTTGTCCATCATGTGCACTTGTAAGAAATAGATGTCGATTAAAAGGAGAAAAATCAACCGAATAAATAGGACTATCATGTGATTGATATGCCATTGTAATTGGATTTTTAGGTTGAACAGACATTTCAGCAAGACCTTCTTCACCTATCATATAAAAACTATAAATTTAAATAAAATTATTTAATTAAATTCTCTAAATTTACGTGATTGAACAGATGATGCAGAATTAAGTGAACCTTTATATAAAAATCCTGAATCACAACCGAAAATAAATGTTTCAGAATCTTCATTATTAAATGTAATACTTGTAACTAAATAATTTTTATAAGTTATTATTAGAAAATGATTTTTTTTACATACCTCCCATTGGTTTTCCTGATGATTTACTACTACTACTTGGTTTTGTTGAAACAAAATAAGCATCAGTTAATTTTAAATTATTTTTACTAGGTAATGGATTCCATAGAAGAATTTTTCCATCTTGACTTGTTGATACAAGCTATTATAAATAATTCAATTATTAATTTTAAATATATATATATATATCATTCAGAAGAAATTAAAACTTTACAATAAATTTTTTCTTTGATAATTTTGGTTCACGAATCCATTGTAGTGATGTTACAGAATCTCGATGTAAATCTTGTCGTTCAATAGTACGAGCTATTAATGAATCTTGTTCACGAAAATCCCAAACAAGTATCTCACCTTAAATGAATAAATATAAAAACAAACAAAAATGTACAATATACAAACCATTATAAAGACCAGCTGCTACAATGCCTGGTCTTTCTGGATGACAAGCAAGTGTTGTAACACATGTACTTGTTTCAACATTCATATCAGGTTTATTTGGATTTATTTTATATCGTTCAATATTCCATGAACATACCGCACCTTTATGCATACATAAACCTTCATGTGATGTACTTCCATAACCAACAACAATTGATGAACCATTAGCTGACCACGATAAACTTGTTATTTGTATTTCTTTATCAATTAAAATTTCTGGATAAGTTAATGTAAATAATTCTTGTGCTGTATCATCACCTGTATATCTCATTTTAATATGACCTAAAGTATTATATCAATATAAAGATTATATCTTTAGAAACAAAAAAACAACAATAATTCAGCATACGAAGAATATTTGGACGTTCTAAATTTTCATCAAGATAATGTAAAACAATTGGTTCAATACGTCCAAGAAATTTATTAAAACGATTTATATCAATTTCTATATCATCATTAACAGATTTTTCACCAAAATCTACTTGACTCTAATTGAAATAGAAACATATATATATATATATACATTAAACCACGAATGAAACAACGAATGTTTCGTACTTCACGTTCTTTACGTTTTATACTTTGACAAGTAGCATCAGCAAGTTGCACTTCAAATTTAGTTTGTACACTTGCATTTACTGAATGACTATAATGAATTGAAATAAATATTGAATTGATTAAAAAAAAAAGAATTTATTTATTTTAGACATATACGAACACAGGATCTTTTTGAATGACTTCTTTACAAGAAATAACTGGTAATGTTTCATCATTGAATACAACTGGTTTTCGATTGATTTCAGAATCTGTTTCATCTCGATTTGATTTACTCATTTTAGTAGAAAAATATTAAATGAAATAAAAAATGTTTCATATACTACCATACTGGTTGGTGTTACTTTGACAACACATGGTAGCTTATTAGTGACATCTACTTTTATGAACATTTTCATTACATGTATATTAATGACACGATATACTAAATAGCAGAATTTAATCATTGAAAAAAAATGAACAAGTCTATACTTTTAGCTTTTAATTTAGACAAAGAAAAAGTATATGAATTATTTAAATTTATATCATTATTATGGAATTGTAATCATTAACATGTTCTATAACTGTTTTAATAGCATTCATTTGACAAGTTTTGAAAATATCGATTAACTACTACATTTTTTGCAAGCACTGGGTTTTTTATTCACAGCAAAAACTTTGATAATTAGTGGAATGAGACTATTGCGTGTGGGTGTAGATGTGGTAGGAAAGAAGGACAATACCCACACCTACACTCACCCACACCTATACTCACTCACATCCACCCACACCCACACCCACACCCATACTCACTCACACCCACCCACGCCCACGCCTACACCCACCCACCCACGCCCACGCCCACGCCCACACCCACACATCCACACCCACACCCCTCATACACAGTCCTCAGAAACAATTGAAACCTGATTAGTTATCGGTTTTTGTTTAAAAATTAAAAAGAAAAAAGATTTTTTTTTATTTCAAAACATCAATACGCAATAGAATTGTTTTCTTCTTATAAATGTGTTTCCAATAAACTATAAATATTATTTGATACAGTTGAATCAGAGAAGTCATTACATGATACTTTAAATAGACCTAATCATTCTGACAAAAAAAACCAACATTCATATATCATATAATTAACAATATGAATCAATAGTTGTAACAATTTTGTTTGATTTCTCTCGAGGTGTATATTGATTTTCATTTGTAATTTTCGTATACATATTAAGATGTTGTTGATATCCAAAACATTCTTGTGATATTTTTATCATATTAATTGGTGTAAAATGATATGGAAAAAATTGTAAAATAATTAATAAATTACATAAACAAGCCGAAACTAATTCACTAATAGCTGATATTTGTTCATAAATATGTAATTGTACAGCAAAATAAACGCATTCAGTAGCAACAGTTATTGTAACAGTTGTAACAAATAGATATAATGCTGATTTAATCCAAATACTGTGAAAACGTACATATGAATCAGAAAAAAAATCAAATAATAAATAAAAAGCAATCGAATTTTGTGTTAATGTTCGAAATTTTTTACTTATAAAAAATGGTAAGAATATAGCTAAAATAATTTCTAATCGAGACATAAAATGAAATAAATGTTTATTTTCAACAATAAAATTTATTTTATATTTCTTTATAACTTGACAATAAATTAACATTATTGTAAATATTAATTCAAGTAAACTCCATAAAGCATAATCTATTGTAGAAAACAAATCATTTTTTATAATAGATGTTATCATATAAACAATTCCACCAATTTCACCTAATAGAAATACTAAAATATAATATATAAAAAGGGATATACGATTTTCAATTGGTGAACAATAACGAAGATATGCAAAAACAATTAAAATTGTTGAACATAAGCCTTCATAACCATTATTATCTGAATGATGTGTTAAGTAATAAAATGCATCAAATACATAAGCAGCTTGAGCCAATATAGGTAAAATAACCATAGACCAGCGAAAAAAATTATCTTGTCCTTCATCAGATTGCTTTTCCGACAACTGAAATATATGAACCATAGTCGTGTATTATTTTATTTAAACGTTTTTGTTCATACGTGATTGCCATGAGCATATATATATATGTATGGGCATATACTAATCTAAAATAATCTATTTATGGTTTTTGACAAAAAGTGATTCAACTATACATTAATGAGTGACACATTCTATCCGTCATAACAACACATAATATGACTCAATATATTGATGTTTACAGGTGATGACACAGCGCTAGGTGGGAAATTTCTAATTGTAAATATCCAATCTTATTCGTCTTTGTGATAATATATGAATAATATCTATATATATATCTCAATTTGTACATTTTGTCATCGAACTGCGTCTTTTTGTCTATACTTTTCTGGAATTATATTTTATTTTCGTCATAAACTGACAACTTGCTAGTTATTAATCAGTTTTTTAAGGATATAGTCTAAATAGTATGTGTATTTGGCCATTGCTTTAGATATTCTTCTTATGATAATGTTCGAGTCATTTGGTTCTGAATAATCTGAACGATGTCTTGTATGAATTACTGAATGACGTTCATTCACTATACAAATATATTCTTAGATTATGTGGGTGTAATAGGCAAAAGTATAATTGATATCTATTAAGGCCTCCCCCTCAAAAAATGTCCGTTTTCATCAAAAATTTCGAAATTGAGATAATTGTATGGAAAGATAAGCCGTCTTCAGATCTTTCGGAAACAATATGATTTTTAAGCCGACACCCCCGTTTCTGATAAGATTTTTGGTCATTTCCGTTAACGTCTTCTTGAAAAATATGCTTATTTCGAAAAAAACGAAAAATGTTTTTCGTTTTCTCTCAGTTTAGGCTTTCTGAACCGCGCAATCCATTTTTCTATGTTCAGGCTCATTCAATATATTTTAATTTTCTTTTTGTTTGAAAGAGCACGTCAAGATGTAGTGCAGTACAGAGTCCTTTTTTTAAATTACGCTTGCTTTTTATTATATATACAGACACAGACACCCATTTTTGGCGCGTATTTTGGGTCATTGAACTTGTGATCCCCTTTTTCCGCTAAAAAAGTAAGAATTTAAAAAAAAGGACTCTGTACTGCACTGCATCCTGAGATGCTCTTTCAAACAAAAACAAAAATTAAATATATTGAAAGAGCCTAGACAAAGAAAAATGGATTGCCAAATGAGCTATTTTTGACCCTTGTTTGGTTCATATCTCTGTCACACATCAAGGTATCGAGCTGAAAATTTTACCACAGCCTCCTCACTTCAGCCCCAACATATGCTCCAAGTTTCAGCCCATTTGAACTTTCCTGGGCTGACATCGATTTTTGAGGGGGGGGGGGGGGGGGGAAGCCTTAATAGAAAATTTTTGATTAAATATCATTATAAATAAATAAATGCAATGATATATGAAGTGAAAATTTATAAAAAATAAAAAAGCTCTGTTGAGTTAATAATCTTCTATCAGTAGAATTCAGCAAGTGACGAACTTAACATATCAGAATATTTTTTCATTTTTGAGAAATATTTTTTAATATATTTATGAAGTGTTATCATGGATTGTTAGATTTATAAATTTAATCAGACAGATTGGATGAATAAGAAATATATATTGTATCATCTGAAACTTTACATATTTTTTTTATTATTGTGTTTATTCAATTTGGTTCCGTATATAATATCTATGCAGAAAAAGACGAAAGATAATTGAATTTGAAGTCAATTTTAATGTCTACTAGAATTAATCAGGTGTTTCACATTGATATTTACCTATTGAATACTTGACATAGCTTACGAAGAAGTCTCTTTCATTAATATACGAAAAAATTTCACTGCTTGTTAATATCATACTTCATGAAATTAAACTTGATTAGACTTCTAGATTATAAAGTATGCGCAAAAATTACTGTCATCTGTTGGTCGTCTTTCTTATGATTCGTTTCTACCCGTCATATTGTTGACTATACACCTATTCAAAGATATAGTAATGACTCAAAAAAAGAAAAACAACAGAATGATACCCGTATTTTATAGAATTCTTTTTATTACGTTATCAAAAACATTATAGGGTTAGTAAACTTTATTTTTTTTTATTTAGTTTCCTACATTTAGAATATTATCTTTCTTTGACAATTAAAAAATCATTTTTGATCGATAGAATTTCATTTTTTTTTCGTTAAACATATTTATATACATGTATATTAAAACAAACTAATTGTTGTCATTCTTCTAAGTCTTAAATTCTGCCTGTAGTTGTTGTAAATATATCAGGAAAAGGAACAAACATATGAGCAATATTGTTTAAAGCTCTTGGATACCAATGAATTCCATTTTCATTTGTCTCGTTCTTATGAATTAAACCAAGTATTTGTTTAGCTTGATGAATCCAACGTAAAGGTGCCATAGCCATATGTCCTATATAATGATGATAGATAGATGCATAGCATGATGAACTAACATTATTGACAAGTAATGTTCCATGTTGAGTTATTGGTGTTGCATAGCCATGTTTAATTTGTAAATCAATCGAACGTATACGTGATGATTCTAATTGACCATTTTTTCCGGCAATAAATAATTTATGTTCATTGGAATCAATATAACGAGCTTGAATATATTGTTGATTACCAATGTAAAGAAGATGTTCAGGTGTTAGAGAAACTTGATGTCCTGATTCAGTTGTAAAGGTATAAAAAAGAGCTAGAGATAAAGAAAGAAGTTTTTTTTAAAATTAACTACAACTGTTTTTTTTTATTACCTGGCGAATTCTTCTCATAATGTAAAATAGCAATAATTTCTGTTGATATAATTTGATCATTATGATCAATAGCCAATACTTTTTCACCTATTTTAAGATTTTCAATAGATATTTCATTTCCATTTGGTGTTTTTGTTGTATCATTTAAAGAAAAACATTGAGGTCTTGCTGAGAAAAAAAAAACATATAATAAATTATATATCTAATTAATAATAAGATCATAAGAACTTACTAATAAATGGACATTCTTCACTTTTTTTTTCATCTTTATTTACACAACATTTTTGTGATAATTCAATTAATTCTGAAAGAGATCCACGTACGAACTATGATAAAGAAAAGTTATGTTTTAGTTAAATAAAAACATTTTGTTTTTTCTTTTCTTACTTCTTCTCCAATACAACCTCGTGTTTTTGTTTTAACACATTCCATAAAACGTTCAGCCATTGTACAAAATACTCTAATATTGCCTTTAGTAGCTGAAACTAAACCAACAGCATCAATAGCGACACAACTGAGAATAGTTGCCGGATCAGCTAAAAAATCAAATAAATATTAAATCAGTTTTTTTTTGCTTGTTTGTTTCTAGAAAAAATTCTTCTACCTTCAACAGGACAATTAGCAGTCGATGATATTATTAAATCGAATCGCGACAAGAAGAATAAAGTTAAATAAAGAACACGATGACTACTCATCATTTGTAGTTTGTAGTAATGAATATAAAATTGAATGATTGAAAAAAGAAGTTGTTCTTCTTCTCTTATATAGTTGAAGATTTGAATTATAAAAAATTCAAATCCATGTTGATCCAACTATTGTTCTATTTTATTTATGTCTTAACATATATTCAATTGACTATCTTGAAAATACATCGCCTACTCTTTTGTCTCGTCAAAGCTTTGTCTTTATGTATTTGATGATTATGATCATTATTATTATTCACATAATCAAGACGATTTCTTTGTTGTTTTTTCTATTTTCGATTACGAATACATATACATTTATTCATATGTCTAATCTTGTCTGTTTACATAATCTTCTTTTTTTTTTGTAAGATTTATTCTTTTGTTCAGTTCAACAAATAATGTTGATCTTAGCCTCACTTGGCAGTTGGTTGCCATTTGCTATTGTTACTTTAGTATGTATTGAGAATTTTCTTTTATTTATATAATATACAGTTTCTTGTTTTGTTCGTATTGGGATTATTAGTTTATTATATTTTTTTCAATTACATTTACATTACGTTATCAACAAAGACGACATCGAGATTATTTGGTTACATTTGTTTGTTCAATTTCATTAATTATTGCTTTATTGACAGCATCATTGTTACCAACAGATGTTATTCTTGTATCATTTATGAAAAACCCTAATGGAACATTTAAAGTAAAGGAAAAATTTGAAATTTTTTAGAATTTATCACTGAATGTATATATATATATATTTGTTTTAAAGGAAGGGACACAAAATGAAACAACTAGAGATCATATTCAGAGATATGTTGAAATTGGATATTATGGTACGTGAAAATTATTTATTCGAAAGAATAGAAGAATAAATCTGACTAATTAGAATATCAATTTTTCTCAAAGTTATATAGGACTAAAAGAGCTATGTAAACAAATCAGATCTAACTTAACTTTGCAAAGTTCAAATGAAATTCTAAAGATTAGGTTCATTTGGAGATTTACATGTCATACATTTTGTTCGCATTATCTTCGGTAGAGCGCATATTATATCGAACAGTCTATCGGCGATTTGTGTCTGGTTCAAATCATATGGGTCTGATATGAATTTTAGACGTAAATAAAATAACAAAAGAATAAATAGATCTTCTAGGTAGGAGACTATACATTTCCTTCAGTATTATTCTATATCTATGAATAGTTTGATACTTATTTTAATTTTTTCCTTCATTGATTTGTATTAAATTATTTTAGTATAAACTCAATCAACATATGAGTTTTTGATAGTTTCTTTTTATATAAATCTTTAAATTAGAAATCAAAATGTATTTAATCATCTTTAAGAGGTACAAATTATTTTACTAGAATGATTTTTATATGCAAAAAAAAGAACACCAGAATGCTTTTGGTTGATTTTAAGTCATCTTTTTTTATTTCTAGTTTTATATGGTCTTGTTCTTGTTATGGCTTTTCTTGTCAATCCATTTCTTTTCTTCTATTATGAAGAAAGAGAAGAAC